ATTCAGCTGGGCGTGGTAGCACGTGCCTGTAATTCCAGCTACTTGGAAGGCTGAGGCGGAAGGATCGCCGGAGCCCAGCAAGTCGAGGCTGCGGTGGCTGGGAGCGGCCACTGCACTCCAGTCTGGGCAACAGAGTGAGACTCCAACTCAAAAAAATAAATAAATAAAAGAATACACTTATGATTCTGGAAGACCCTAGGAGGCTAATACATTCAGGAATTGCCAAGGAGAGATTTCTCTATTTTAAGATACACCTAAAAAGTCAAGTGACTTAGCCAGGCGCAGCGGCTCACGTCTGTAATCCAGCACTTTGGGAGACAGAGGCAAGAGGACTGCCTGAGCCCAGGGTTCGAGACCAGCCTGGGCAACTTGACGAAACTTCAATTTCTACAATAATCAAAAAATTAGCTTGGTTTGGTGGAGCACGCCTGTGGTTCTAGCCACTTGGAAGGCTGAGGCGGAAGGATCTCCTGAGCCCAGCAGTGGCCATGAGCCTGCCACTGCACTCTAGCCTGGGCAACAGTGAGACTCTGACTCAAAAAAAAAAAAATGTGGCTTCCACCTACCCTTCAATAAATCTGAATTCATTCATTGTCTTGAGAAGTCTTCCAGTTTGAAGATTATTCAGGACCATCCCAAAGTATTCGTACACTTCTATGTCTGAACAAAAACCAAAACAGTCTGCAAGTCAGTGTTAGTGTCCCTTGCTTCTGAATTGGGAATTTCTTTTTCACTGAAAAGAGTTTGTTTTATTGAAAGTTGCTACATATGGTCTTCTGAGTTATGAAGAGAAAAGATAGAGTCTATAGTTGCATGTTTTTATCCTCTGGCCCAGATCTGGCTGCCAGAAAGATTTTCTTTTTACTGTGGAAGTTTGATTTATTTTCTATTATTAGGATTAAGAAAACCTGAGGCTGGATGTGGGAAGACCATATGACCAGAGTGCCTGTCGGTGCTACCACCCACAGTGTTCCTGGGGCCAGGAATTACTTTGAGACAGATGTTCTCAAGGACTGTTTTGAGTGTCAGCCAATGAGTTTTATTCTAGCAAGAGGATATGAACATTTTACCAAAGTGAGAGAAAAGAAAAAAATTTATCTTTCAAGACACTGCAGTTTCTTCAACACTTGGAAATTTGCATTTTTTAGCTCTTCAGTGGACATTAAGAAGTTTGTAGTAAGTTTATCCCTAGAAAAGCCTGAGAGGTCATGTTTTCTTGTTTTTTTGCTTTTTGGTTTTTTAGGTTAGAAAAAGTTGATTCAGAAAGTAGATCAGAGAGAGAGCAGGTGAATTTAGTTCTCCAAGATTGGAGAAGAAGCCATACACTTAAAGATAGTGTGGCTGGTCTGGGCGCAATGGTTCACACCTATAATTCCAGCACTTTGGGAGACTGAGGTGAGAGGATTACCCAAGCCCATGGGTTCGAGACCAACCTGGGAAACTTGGCGAGACCTTATCTCTACAATAAAATACAAAATTAGCTGGGGATGGTGGTATGTGCCTGTAGTTCCAGCTACTTGGAGGGCTGAGGCAGAAGTATCGCCTGAGTCCAGCAGGTCGAGGCTGCGGTGGCCATAAGCATGCCACTGCTCTCCAACCTGGGTGACAAAGTGAGACTCCAACTCAAAAGAAAAAAGTAAATGTGGCAGTGGTGGTCATGTTTTCTTTTTCTTTTTTCTTTTTTTTTCTTGAGCCGGAGTCTTGCTCTGTCTCCCAGGTGAGAGGCAGCAACACTCTCATTGCCACCACAACCTCAACCTGCTAGGTTCAGACGATCCTTCCACCTTAGCCTTTCAAGTACCTGGAACTACAGGCATGTGCCACCCGGCTAGTTTTTATTGATTTATTGTAGAGATGAGGTCTTGCCAAGTTCCCAAACTGGACTTGAACCCATTGGTTCGGGCAGTCCTCTTACCTTGGCCTCCCAAAGTGCTGGGATTATAGGTGTGAGGCGCTGTACCTGGCGGTCATGTTTTCTTAATATGAATCTTGTAAAAAGTCCTGGCTGAACTTTTAGGCAGTCAAGGTATGTTCATTATCTTGATTGTAATGATGGTGTTATAGGAGTGTACATATGTCAAACCTTATCAGTTTGTACATTTTAAATTTGTACAGTTTATTGTATATCATTTATACTTTTTTTGTTTTCAGTTGATGTCTCATTCTGTCGCCCAGGCTGGAGTGCAGTGACATGCTCACGGCCACCATAGCCTCAACCTGCTGGACTTAGACGATGATTCTTTCGCCTCAGCCTTCCAAGTAGCTAGAGCTACAGAAGCGCACCACCACACCCAGCTAATTGGTTTTTTTTCTTTTTATTGTACAGATTGGACCAGCTACGTTGCCCAGGCTGGTCTTGAACCCCTTGGCTTCAGGCAGTGTTCTCATCTCCGCCTAAAGTGCTGGGATTATAGGTGTGAGCCACCGTGCCCTGCATCATTTATACTTAAATAAAGATAGTTACCCTCCTCCTCAACTCATTTTATGAGGCTGGCATAACTTTGACACGAATACCCTATAAAATACTACAAGAAAAGAAAATTACACCTTAATTTCTTTAATTCATATAGATGTAGGCCGGGCTTGGTGGCTCAGCCTGTAATCCCAGCACTTTGGGAGGCCGCGGTGAGTGGACTGCCTGAGCCCGGGGTTCGAGACCTGCCTGGGCAACTTGGTGAGACCTCATCTCTACAATAAATCAAAAATTAGCTGGGTGTGGTAGCACGTGCCTGTAGTTCCAGCTACTTGGAAGGCTGAGGCGGAAGGATTGCCGACGCCCAGCAGGTCGAGGCTGTGGTGGCCAGGAGCGGCCACTGCACTCCAGTCTGGGAGACAGAGTCAGACTCCAACTCAAAAAAAAAAAAGAAGAAGAGAAGGGTCTCACTTGAGTACACACCATGTGAAGGGATTAATAAGTAGCTCTCAAATTTAAAAATGAGCCGAGCTCAGTGGCTCAGCCTGTAATCCCGAGCCTTTGGGAGGCTGAGGTGAGTGGATTGCCTGAGCCCGCGGGTTTGAGACCC